GTGTGTGTGTGTGTGCGTGTGCGTGTGCGTGTGCGTGTGCGTGTGCGTGTGCGTGTGCGTGTGCGTGTGCGTGTGCGTGTGCGTGTGCGTGTCTGTGTGCGTGTCCGTGTGCGTGTGCGTGTGCGCGTGTGCGTGTGTGTGTGAGCGTATTTATGTGGGTTTGTAAGCTTGAAGGCAATATACTAATGACGTGCACTAGATATGTCCCCGATTCTTTGATGAAGTACTACACTCACATATTGTGAGTCCGCATTCTGATACCTGGAGTGTCCCACTATACCGGTAGAATATCTAACGTCGTCATTCAGATGTCATAAATCTAAGTTCTCATCGGTAGGCGCTCACACACGTGTGTGCGTGTCTGTGTCTGCGTGTGCGCGTGCGCGTGCGCGTGTGCGCGTGTGCGTGTGTGTGTGTGTGTGTGTGTGTGTGCGCGTGCGCGTGTGCGTGTTTGTCACAAATTAAGTAAAGTATTTTACTATGATTTATGAAATCTTCGGTCTATCGGACCTACGGTCTACAGGTCCCTTTTCAATATTCGGTTTATCGGACCTTCGGTCTATAGGGCTGACCCCGTTAGCATGTATATGTGCGTGCCGTCACTGCGTGTGTGCGCGTCATCATTGTAATTAAGCTCTAATATAAATGTAAGAATTATGTAAACATGATGATTAGTTTATATTTTAAACTACCTTGAAACGGAAATCGTGATTCTAGTACATGGCACGTTCTTAATGTAGCTTTGTGCACATATGCCATAAGTCCATAAGTATGTGCATCAGTGATAGTTCGAATAGATGCCATGCCCATATGTAACCATTTGTTGCATCTAATTTTACTTGCTGTAATCTGGCTGAAATTATCTTTGTGCAGCGAGCGAGAGCACAGAAATGGGACTAAGCCACTGGGTGAAGAGAACTAGTCTGGTAGACAGCCGCACATCAGTGACTGATGTGCGTTTTGCACCACGGCACATGGGCCTTCAGCTGGTAACCTGCTAGTCATGCTACTGCTCAAATTAGGATTCATATAAAGTTGTATGTGCTTGAATATTGTTATGAAGCAGAGAAATCTCTTGCATCATACTTTTGTCTTCACATTATATTTTTGCAATGACAGGTTACATTTTTCACTGGCAATTGTTTGGGTGGTGCACTTTGAATTGCTATATTGTTAGCATTTGAAAAATTGTGTGTGCAGTATAATAGTGTAGAAAGAAAGAAATCTTAAAGAAGGCAGCCGTTTGAGTAACCGTTATTTGAATTCAAATAAAGTTTTGTATTAGATTGCATGAGCTTATAAAGTGCCACCTATTCTCAGTACTTGCGTATACATGTGTGTATCGATTATCGGTGTTCTGTTGTGTGTTTCCCTGTAACGGAGTTGTTTTAACGTTTGCAGGCGACTTGCTCAGCGGACGGACTTGTTCGCATCTATGAGGCTCCAGATGTGATGAATCTCAGCCAGTGGCAGCTGCAGCATGCCATACAGTGCAAGCTCAGCTGCAGCTGTCTAGCGTGGAATCCATCAAGGTACGGTATGAGGCGGGTTGTTAGTTGGAAGCGATCGACCGACGTTCTCGAGATTTCACGAAAATGGCTGAGTACTGGTGAAGTGGGCTGCTGGTTAACTTAGGATAGTGAGACATTCGTGGTATTGAAACGAGTAACTTTAAAACGGGATTGTTTAATGGAAGGCTGCGGGTAAAAGCCAGCGCTATCTGGCAGTCGGTTACAATTATCACGGTATATGCCATCACCCGTTTCTTTCGCAGAGTGCATCCACCAATGCTTGCAGTAGGAAGTGATGATGCAAATCCTTCGGCTGGAGGTAAAGTCATCATCTATGAGTTCAGTGAGGCACAGAGGTATGTTACATTATGTGGATGTTTAAACGTGCCTTCCCTCGAAATTTCCAGCGGCAAACATAAAATCAGGCAAAAATGAATTATTTTAACATTGCACGCTTGTACTTGCCTATATATGTGTGATAGGTAAAGAAAAAATGCCCGGGAATACGTTCATTCGAAGCTTTTAGACTACAAAATGAAAGTGTCGGGTCGAATGTTTCAAACAGCGTTTACTTTTGCCGCTCTGCGGCGATGTTGTGACGCGTCTCTTGTTGCCATGCGGTGTTGCCAAGTGCTGAAGGTCATGAAGGCTGCATATGCTCATAGATATCATATAACACATGTGTTATATGATATCTATGGCTGTGCTGGTTACGTGACCTGCAACGACTCTTGCCGCCATGATACAGAACCGCGGTGAAACACGTTTTTCGAGTTGTTTTCTCGTTGAGCGAATATAGGCTTGATACATATTTTTACAGTTTTATTTTCAAAGCTAACGTTCAGTGTAGTGAGTTATTTACTTACGTTTTTACAGTGGTTTGTCACAAAAATGTGCGTGGGAATGCATTTTTAAATAAGGTTATAGATGTATTTCTGACAATATTTCATAAGCATAATATAGATCTTCTCCAAACTTTACTATTGTAACTGAGATATATTCAGTGAGCATCGTCTAAAGGGTGTGTTCTGACAATGTATTACTGATAGGGCTGTAACGATACACAAGCCTCTCGATTCGATCCGGTTCTCGATATTAGCCTCTCGATTCGATCCGGTTCTCGATATTAGCCTCTCGATTCGATTCCCAAAATATTGAAATGTTGTCTTATTTTTTATATTTTTATTATTTTGCAATAATAAATTATTAGAAATTGCCAATGAATACTAAATGGTGAATAGACTAGAGAGTCTAGAGAGTATATATAGTTATATACACTGCACAGTCGCTGAGTAACATTGGTGAGTATATATAACACCAGAGCATATAAATCACCATTACTCACCAGTGATTTATATGCTCTGGTAACACTCCACAGTAAGTGACAGTATATAGCGTAGTGCCGCCATCTATTGGAGGAAAAAAGTGAAGTGGTATCGAAGTGGAATCGAAAATACGGGGAAAAATATCGAGGATAGGATCGAGGGAAGAGAATCTCGATCCGATTCGATTTCGGTGGATCGTTACAGCCCTAATTACTGATATATCATTATATTATTTTCAAGACTATTTAGGGAGGATTCCATGATTCTACACAATGGTGTTTTGCAATGCTCATTGCTATCAATACCATTCCAAGTTATACAAGAGTTGAATGTGTTAACACCACTAACCCTTCTTTGCCTTCTTGCCTTTGTTCTTGGGATATTGCAAAAGCCACAGAATAAAGAAGGCCAATGATGCAGTATCGCAGTATCACTGTATAGTCTTCATACAGTGAAATGACGTGACAGCCGCACATGCTGTCTAAAACTAGCTGTTTAAATTTGCATATTGTAGCAGCATGATGAAATCATCTACTCTTAAGTCAGTATTTATAAATTTGAATAAACTTGATGAACAAAGAAATATGTATGGCAGTGGCTAATCTAGAAAGGAGAGAAAATGTCATTTTACTAAACTACTGTGACATGGTTGAGTAGGACTAATCTTACTCCCTGCTGTCATGCTAGCGTAAGGATTCCTAAGGTTCGCTATGTTCTCCTCTAGGAAATGGAATAAAGTGGAAACAGTAATGATTGTGACAGAGCCAGTCTATGATATAGCCTTCGCACCCAACCTCGGCCGTTCCTACCACATGCTGGGTGTTGGATCGAAAGACGTTCATGTCATTACGCTAAAACCGCTTAAGTAGGTGTCAATATTTAAAGTTATTGTCCTTCTTTGGAAAAGTTGGCAGGATGCGTATTTTTAGAATTGTCACTTTGGTTTTAGGCGATCGATTTTCAACGTTGCATATGGATTATCTCTACATAGGCCCTTGGCTTGCAGAGGCCATTGTAACGGCCATTGTGCAATAGTATATTCTACAGATTGAGGCAGCAATACTATATATGAGTATGTATACATACATGTACACGTGTATGCATGTGTTACGTGTGCGATGAAAAATATCGTTTCCAGAGTTTATGCAGTTATTTTATGGTAATTTAATTCAATGTTTTCATAGGGACAGAAGTCATTTGTATAGATACATACATTACAGACCATTGATTGAATGCGTCTGGGATTGCCATCTTGCACATGTATTCCACTCTGGCCTTTTTCCACACTTCGCATTCCTGACACGTACACGTGTATCTTGGGTTTGCTCGCAGAAGAGAGCTGGCAGTAACGGCACCACCGCAGGGCAGCAGTACACAGGCGACCGGCATGTCTCGCTTTGAGATCCGCCAAGTGGCACAATTTTGTGACCATTACTCACAGGTGGAATAATGCTTTCTCATTGTTCGTTTGTGTTTTTATACAAATTTCATGTCACTACGACTATAGAATAGCATAAGTGATATTATCAGTATCGACGATTTGCTGATATTGTACTTTATATTTTAACTCAGTTTTCATGCACTTTATCTCGAGCTAGCTACAAGTTGATCAAATAATGCAAAGCACTCATACATGTGGGACGGCAGCTATGAAAGGCAGGACTGTGGTTTCCTCATAAATAATTAAGTCATGCTAATATTAGTATTTATTAATATTATCTTTGTACAGGTGTGGCGTATTAGCTGGAATATCACGGGCACTATCCTGGCATCCTCAGGTGACGATGGCTGCGTCCGACTGTGGAAAGGTGAGATTTTCTCGCATTGAAAGCTGTATAACATTTGTCCCCGATTATTGCAATTATTTTTAATTACCAATTTATTGAATAGTAAAAATTTATCTGTAGATTTTTTTATCAAAACTAATTTAACTAAAAAACTACTGGAGGCCTGAATATCATGACATTTTATCACTGTAATTATCATAAATTATAAGCTTCCTCTATGTATCATGTGCAAATGAACCAGCCTACTGCGGCTTTCATCAGGACCATGAATAAACACAGAATGGTAAAAGCTGGATTAGTCTTATAATTTAGGAATCTGTGATCAGCATGTCAAATGGCTCATTTATGCCTTGTGTCCAGAAATGGTGCTCAAGTCCTCAGCGAAAATCCAACCTTTATTACTTTATTTGAAAGGGACATGAATTTTCATGTAAATATGTTTCAGCAAACTATCTGGACAATTGGAAGTGCATCTCGGTGCTTAAAGGCGATGGGACAAGGTCACCCACAGACAGACCTGGTGGCCAAGGTGCCATGCAGACAAGCAACGTGCAAGGGGTCGGCAATGGGACGCGCTACTACAAGTTGGGTGGCATGCTTGGCCAGACAGCTACTAACCAGGTAGTGTGGCACTGAGACCGACTAGCAGCAGCAAAGAGGCTGCAGTCAACTGGTCTTGCTCAGAGGTTAGGATGCACTGTGCCTGAGCAAGGAGTTATATTTAGCTGGCGAGGCCTGGAGTTATGTGGTTATAAGTTCAATTACCCAATGTTCTGTGCTGATCAGTGAGAATAGCACAAGAAGATCAGCACATTACAATACGAAAAACTGTACGTGATTGTATCAGATGCAGTGTAAGGACTATGCTTTGCCTGGTTGAATCATGTTGAGTGTATGGGTGTTGCCGAACTGCCTATACACAGAAGATAGATAGTCAGTAGATAGAATGATCTGGCCATACTGGCCATGGCCCATTGATATTAAATGCATTGTTGATTTATGTCGAGATTTCCTTAGATAGTTCAATAATGTAAAGATCAGTAATGCATTTTAAAGGAAAATACTAAATTCTGTTCACATTTTACAGATGTATAAAAAAAATCCAAGTACTTGTAACTTCCAAATTTGTAAAGATGTGAAATGGGATATATTGATTTTTTTTACAAATATGATTGTTACGTCTAAGTGTGTAAATGTTTAGCAGACAAAATGAAAGTATGTGTAAGAGATTTGAGCTACACAAGAGGCTGGTTATAATATGGGCACGTTTGATAAAACGGAAAATAAAGTTGAAATATGTACGTGTGTTTACTACTCAATCTAGTGTTACTCAGACTATATGGTAAAAGGTCATTATCACTAGATGACTTCAATAGAAATGCCAAACAAAATAGCTACTTTCTCTGAATATTACAATTTCCCATATATTAACTATAAAAGTGTATCATTACCTCAATCAAGCATTGATGACAGAGTGTAGAATTTTCTATCGACCAGCACAAACATTAAATAAACATCAACAAAGCTGTGGCTATAAAATACAGCAGTCTGTACATTGCTAAAGTAATAGAATGTGTTTACACATGTAGGTACCCTGGTTATGGTACTATGCACTCATTACAACGTTCGGCTAATTTTTTCGCAAAGTTTCGACAGCACGCAGCGTACAGTGTCCTGTGTCCATTAAGAAAAGCCCTATAAGTGCAAGCTTACATTCACAAAAGCAATCGACAGGCAATACATGAGATCAGAACTTAATAGTACTAATTTTAGCAGGTGATCTGTTATCTAACGAACCAGCATAAGCAAGACTGCATGTACATAGTAAGTGCAGCTGACTTTTTAAACTGGCGAAATACACTGGCAAACATGAACAAGTGATAAGATTATTCAACGTTTTCTCATTGAAACGCACCTGGTCTATCTGCTCTGCTCTGGCACTAACTACAACACTCACAGGAATAGAACAGTACACCACCAGATGGCTCTGATTGCTGAAGTGAGTGGATTTCATGGCAGATACCTGTATGGTATGTACTTTAATAGCTACGACCTTACGCTAGGTGGCACTCCGACAGTCATGATAAGTGCAGGGATTCTCAAACGCACACAGTATCACCGGAGCTTGGTCGTGTAATCCTTGCTTACTCTCGCCTGCTACAGTGTCAGCCGGTACAACAGCTACACTCCTCAGATCTTTCAACTGGCCTTATTATGTTATTAAAACAATTTACAATATACAGCAAATAGAAAGATGCCGCACTCAGCTGTTAAAAATATACTCTTAGAACAGCGGCCAAGGACTTGGTACCGTGCAAGCAAAGAAGCTTTTCAACAGCCTCGACACATTCCAATCTGTAATACACAGCCACAAAAATAAAAGATTTCAAAGCAACAACAGTAATTACACATAACAGTAATTACAGTAATAGTTTTCATATTGTCATAGACTTTGTATGTTCACAAACTGCAGATGTTAAAATGAGAAATCATGTGAATATCGTTTGCCATAACCTTGCATGTAAAACTGGAATCCAAGACGTTTGTGGTTGCATTAAAAAACCACAGACGCATGCCAATATAGCATTGAAACTACATTTATCCCGTCACGAAATGTCAAGCATGCTATGAATGCATAGATAACCGTGAAACTTCCTGTAATGATAATGACAACGAAGGTAGTAACAATGATACTGTTTAGAATTTCATCCGGTGCATTTAGCATGCACGCATACACCTATACCGTATCATGTACACACAATTGCTTTTTAGTTAAATTCCGTTCCGTAAAAGCCAGATCCATGATCTCAAATTATACATCATCTGTACACTTTAACAAACATTTGGAGTCAAACACAACTTCATCTAGTAGTTGAGATTAAAACTCCGCGTTAAATTAAAATGAGAATGAAGTAATACTGGAAGTAAACTGACATTTCACAATTCACAAATTCAGGGCTCTGGACAATATGTCGATGTGAAGGCCGTGGGGGGATGCTGGACATGGTGGCTGCAGTCGTTCAAACACAATCGACCTGCGTTCAGACTGTGCGTTGCAGTTTGACAACCACATTTCAACAGCTTCTTTCCAACTGCATACTTCGCACACATTTCCCGAATCCCACTGCGCTGTTTAATACCCATCAGCCCTGCAAGTGAAACTCGATACCGACATAATGCCGTAGATATGACATTGGAGTCGTACAGAGTATACATACACACCTCGCATGACTCCCACATCAAATAAAAGTTCCACAGCGAGCAGTCAGGCCCCACCAGAACAGATCTGATCTTGGTAGTATTATACAGAACATTGTGAACTGTGAATTGTGTATTTTTTTGCAGATTTTCGTCTAGTCTGATCGTAGACGTAGGGCCTGATCTAATCACGGGAGATCAGCCAGAACAAGTGAAAAAAACAATTAATGATCTGACCCAAAAAGAATCAGGTAATTGGTAGATGCGTTATGTAGTTTGCATGAACATACTGGTAGGTTACTCACTGGCCAAAATATGACAGATAGCAAGGGTGAACGACAAACAAACAGCCTCTGCCCAAAAAATAAATACAAAGAAAATATGTCCCTCCCAGAAAATACAATAAAAAATGCCCCAATAGAGTGACACTGACATTACAATATTCCAGAAACCCAGAGATTTTTTACGACTCCCACACTCAACAGTGCAACTCACGTTTCTAATAGTAAAGCCTAACACTCGGACATCATACACGTTGCAGAGCTGTGCGGCCTTGAAGATTGAAGTACATTTTGATTCTACAGTGGTGCACACTCATACGATCGGTGCATGGCACATTGGCACAGTGCACGAATTGTTGGCGTATACAATGTGAACATAGACATCGATTAACATTGGTGTCAATCTCTCGTTATTATGTCGACAAGTCGCCCCTGGCGGAGTACGGGTACCGACCCGCTTCCTAATGACCGTAATTCGTAAAATCTTCCTCCAATGTTCCCATCATCGATCGGCAAAACAGCTGCTACTAACAGCAATCGGCACAAAGACAGAGAAATGCAGCTCTGAAGGTGGGTGTTGCGTCGCTCGTTCACGATTCCCGCTGGCGGTTTTCTACGACAGAAAGTACATCAGCTACGCTTCGCAATAGGAGAGCCGCACCATGCTCCCAGTGAACCATATCTGCGCTGAGTGTGAATTTAGGTGCCTGAGTAATAAAATGATGATGTGATATATATACCTATATAAACACACCCGGAGAGAGAGAGATTTAGATATATATATATCTGACCAATCTGGCCATTTCTACCAACATGTGATCATGAAGTCATCATGGTATACTCAATTGCAACATCAGTATATTCAAATGCATAGTCAGGTCAGAGGAACTCAGTTGGCTAATATTAGCCACATCCACCCCGACTAGCCCATTAACCACTCCAGACTCAATGGCTACAGCCCCGAGCTCTCCAGGCAAGAGGCAGTCACCTGTCTCAATGGAAGAAGAGCCTTTCAAGAGGCTGGCCCTTCAGCGCCAGTCCTGCCTGCTGCAAGGAACAGACCCAAGCTAGGGACCAGGAGTCTGACAGCAGAAGAAATGTCAGCCAGCGTCAATGCCTCTTTACGCGATTTTGAAGAAGGCCTCTCTACTGACACTATTGCGGGGCTAGCTGGTGGTGGCGGAGGCAGAAACGATGGCATCTTGGATATGATTGAAGCATTGGAGTTTCAAAGCTTCAATGCAATCAGACATGCGGTAACAAGAATAGCAGTAGCTCATGGTTGCTGCAAGAATAGCATGAGCTCATGGTTGCTGCAAGCGAGGACACGTCACCGGTCAGCGTCGCGAAAAAGCTGCTCCACGATGTGCAGGAAATGTGTGCCATGATCCTCATATGTGGGTCCAAACCGACCAAAAATGTCCGGCCAAGGGAAAGTCGTGTACTAACTGCCACAAGTTAGAATCACTTCAATTCGGTATGCCACAGCAAACCCGAAACTTAATCGAAGGCGCCGAATCAGCCTAACAAGTCAAGCAAGAGGACTAGTGTTAGGAGGAAACCAATGCACGTAGTACAAGAAGGTACAGAATCGTCAGAAGATGAGTATGCGTTCGGAGTGAGTCCGAACTCCGAAGTCAGATGCTAGAGTGGAAGTCATCGTAAATGGGCAACCAGTGGGTCATGATTGTGGACACAGGATGTTCTAAGAATAATGACGAAGGAACTTTTGGCTCATCGTCAGACAAAGTCGCGCATCTACAGAATAGCCACGTCAAGCTATACCCGCATGGAAGTTCGAAGCCTCTGCATGCGAAAGGGAAATTCACAGCAAAAATTGCGGCAAACGGAAACATGATTAAGTCAGACATTCATGTAGTGAAAGTGGCAAACGGAAATTTATTTTGCCTAGATTCAGCTAAGGCGTTACATCGGGTATCCCATCCTCGTCGCCAATGTAGAATTCTAGCTGGAAGTAGGCAGAAAGTAGACTATAATACGTGCGGTTATGGCTGGATCAATCGTCAGAAAACCTCTGACATTTATTGTCGCTTATTAGCACACAGATAATATGTTTTATAAATGATAAAAAAAGGTCGCTGAAAACATTACAAACTCATTCACAGATAAAAACTCTCGGCAACCTAAGTATGTCCTGCTTTCTTTCACTGAGTTTGATGTGGCTACGAGTGGAACGTGGGCTAGGCAACAAGTGACGAGCTGCCGCCATCACGGGCGAAGGGGAAAATTTTGCCACTCGGCCCTAATGTTGCTGCACCTGGAATGTGCATCGGTCGCTTGAACCCAACTGTCTTCTAAGACATTCAGCTTCGGCTGGTTTCACGTGTACAGAGATAGCTGCGTTTGGGTCGACTGCCTCCAATCTACAAAACAACGAATAGAAACTGCGCGGTCCGTCAGTCATCACGCTTGCCCGATACTTCTCTCGTCCATGAAAATGGCGGTCTATTGAGACCGCGCGCAGAGAAAGTGGATAAATGCATTTAGACAGCACACGATATAACGTTAACCAATGTAGAGGATTGAATAAAGAGACTGAGACAGACATGTCGTACACACAGTAACATGGCACAATGGCAGTTACTAGGACGTCGGCCATAGTGATGAATTCCATTCTAGTTACGCAAGTGCAACTATTATGCCAGCAAGTAAATGTTAAAACATCAGACAGAGGGAGCTCATTAATTACTAATCCAGCACAAATAGAGTAATCGCTCGCTCACTCTTAAAAATACACACACATTCGCGCACACTCACGCATACACACGCACACACACAAGCTCACGCACACACGCGCACACACCCATACATACACCCAAAACATATACATGTACATACATATAAATAAAAGGATTTACATCAATTTATATGCATTTACAGGTATACTACGTCCACACATGTACAAAGTAGAGAAGAACCATTCCCACGTGGACTGATTAATCGAGCAATTGATTCTGTAATATTCCTTCATAATAATATAGCATGTTTGATAAATAGTAATATCACACAAACAACTTGCCATGCGAATACTGTATGTGCTGACCATTTATATATATTATACAAAAATCTTGCCTCGCGTTCAAGCGGGGACATAGTAATAATACCTCTCTATTCACTGACTCAGTATTTACACCAGTGAAGCGACACTGTTTTATACAGACAACAGCTACGAGTGTATCAATCGGTCGGTCGGTCGGTCGGTCGTTCGTCGCACGGACCAAAAATGCGCTGCCCGCCTCAACATAATAACGTTAAACGCGCACGTCTTTTTCAGCGTGCAGCGCTGGCCGCAAATCCAACCAGTGTCAGCATCGATGCGTCTCGACACCTCTGTATACCCCCCACCCCAACCCCACCAACTACCCCAGCCGCGCGCATTCATATCGCCACGGCGCTCTAGCGTGTGTGTGTGAGCGAGAGAGGGAGAAAAAGAAGAGGGGGAGAGAGAGGGACGTTGGCGCGTTCTTTATGCACGTCGCGGGCGGGGGGGGGATTGAGCGCCCAGCCGCAGCAGCGATGACAGGCATCCGGGTATAGGGAAAACAAGAGCGCCGCCGACGCGAGCAGGTGTGTGTTTCTCACAAGCAGCGACGCACCTGTGCGCGGCCGGCCGCCCTCGCCGTTAATTGCCGCCGTGTTTACACGCCGAGTGAGTTTGTTTGTACGGGACGGCGACGGCGAAATACGAAAATCCAGATTTTTCTTCCCATTCTCGGCGTGCTGTCGGTCCGCCCCGCACCGAGCGCTGCAACGTCTGCCGATGCTGCCGAGAAACAGTTGCGCGATGAGATGCCTTGAGATCAGTTACGGAACAGTCGCGCGGAGGAGGTTGGACCGTAAACGTGAAACGTGTACACATTGGGGCGAGGATGCCAGCGAAGCGAAAGGCGTGTTTCTCTCGAAAGCGGGGAATGACTAAAGCTAGGGACTTTAGTCGCGCAGGAGTAGGAGACACACCTGTCTATGAGGGAGGTTTAAAAGCTAAAGGGGGTCTACTAGGAACACCTGGTGACGACTTGCCCGTACGTGTGACATACATAGCCTTCCAATAGCACACGCATCCTAAAAAAACACGCAAACCTGACAGTGGCTTTACTTCGCATTTGTGCATACGTGTGTGCACCAAAATCTTATTAGTTACCGGCCTTAACGAGTCCTAAATTTCGCACAAACCCTTGACACACAAACACTGCTTCGGAGAGATTAATTAAGAATAGAATTAAGAACTTAATGCAGACGGCTGTGCAATTAGAAAAGTGCGGCCATAGTTGTTCCCGTTTTGCTCACCCCAGCTGTTCCCCGCGGTATGCTCAAGTCGTACACTTGGTGACGGCTGATTGTGGCAAGTCGCACATTCAACTGCTCGCATGCAGTCACTACTTACGAGAAAATCGGATCATCGCTGCTGCGTGCCCCAACAGGCACTTGGAGCGTTTCAATAAAATATAATGCTAAATAAATACGAAATCTATTTACTACCAAAGTCTTAATGTTACTATACTCTCTTTCATCTATTATTGCCGAAAATTTCCTGTAAATGCCGTCCAAATGCTCATCTGCAACAAACGCTGGCTGCCGCTGCACACTGACACATAAATATATAGTGTGTTTATATATTTATGTGTCAGTGTGCAGCAGCTAACGTGCGGCGGGCAGCGTGTGTTGCAGATGAGCATTTGGACGGCATTTACAGGAAATTGTCGGCAATAAAAGGTGAAAGAGAGTATAGAAACATTAAGACTTTGGTAGTAAATAGATTTCGTATTTATTTAGCATTATGTTTTATTGAAACGCTCCAAATGCCTGTGCGTGGCCCTCACTGCTGAAGTACTTGTGCTCATGTCTGCAAACGGTTCCATCATACACACCGGCAGTCTACGCAAAACAGTGAGTGTTGCCAGGAGGAAAGCTAACCCTCTTCTTTCTTCACCGATGTCTCTGAATTTATCATTAGACATATCTAGGCTCCCATCACCACAGTAGTCGTCTCAAGCAAGAAAGAAAAAGCTGGAGTTCGGGTTAGAATAGGCCAGGACAACTGCGCAACAGGCATTTGGCAACCGTACGTTGGCAGCTCTCATTCATGCTATTCAATAGAAGGCCAACCCTCCATTGAAATAGATGAATATCAGGGTATTGACCCACGCACCACTCGCAAGAGGCAGTCGGTGTGTTGTCAATAGCCAACACCACTTACCATTGCTCTCGATGCAGTACGTGGGCTAAAGGTGGCTACTACTGCACGTTTGATGTATACCACGTTTCTTACATCACACTTTTCGTGAGAAGGTACGTGGCACCTGCACAAGGTGTGATGCCTATCCGGTCTCATATAGGAGGCGTTTCATAAGAAGGTGGCTGCTAGTAAGTAAGTGACACGTTTCGACTTGACCTTTTCCACACAGCTACTGAATTTGTGATAACAAGCAAGCGTAACATAAATCAACGCGACGGGTTTGTTCTTGAGATTCGCTGCGCCATAGACGTCACTGAAGCCACCTGAATATTGCAAATGATAGATTCTCTTTACGAAATCCGTAGAATCTCATCATCAAGTGCAATACCATACTTATTAGGCACCAGTTGCTGGTACGAGACATAAGGATTAGATACCTACAGAGAGGTCTGTGATACAGAGCTTGCACGCACAACAAGCTAGTACCTGTTAACAGGACAATCGTTCCATTTCTGTTGATGATAAAGCACAGGGATATAAAACACGTCAATAAATAAACTTGTGACAGTGACTGAAACAGTGTATGTATATGAAGTATGTGGTCCCTTATACTATGCAGATATCTGACCAGCATTGCATACCACATTGCACATCAACTCTTTTCAACATTGTCATACAACGATTAAAATATGCACATTTCGTGGAAAAAATACCGATTTGCTGCTGGGTATTTTATGCATGTAACAACTCTCTTAGAGAAACAGTAACCATACATCCGAACTGAAGGAGGTAAAGCTAATGTACAACATTTGGCATCACTAAGATGAAGGTAAACACGAGGATAAATTCTTCCTGCTACATCCAGGGTGTGCTTGGCTTTTTCGGCCTGACAGTGGGAGAGCGGCAGCGAGCACTGGATACCACAGAGGCTCTCGAGTGACAGCCACGTACGATCCTCGCTTCAAGTGACTTCAACGCGAATCTCCCGAATCCAAGATGTCTGTCGCAGTGTGTGTGTGTGTGTGTGCGTGCGTGCGTGCGTGTGTGTGTGTGTGCGTGTGTGTGTGTGTGTGCGTGCGTGCGTGCGTGTGTGTGTGTGTGTGTGCGTGTGTGTGTGTGTGTGTGTGGTGACTGTGTGCGTGGCGTTGCGTCGGCCAGGGTTTCCGCGGGGAGCAGCCCTCACTGACCGCATGCGTGCGCGGTGCTGGCAAGCTGCAGGTAGGCAGGCGTGCGCTGTCACGTGCCGGTGGCCGCCGGCGTTCGGGGAAAGAAGCGGGGCGCATAAACGAAAGGGTGTCGACGTTGGGACGGACCATGCAGACGAGTGGGCATCACAACAGCTGCGTAGGTGCGCAGGTGCTTCGCTTGGATCGATGTCGTGGCAGTCGTTGACCGCGCGGATGTTCTTCGTGTCAACCGCAAGGTGATGGCGGGTAGGAGTGGTGCTTCCCGTCGTGCCCGTTGCCGTGCTGATCCTCTGCATGGGCAACGACACATCGCGCTGACGCCGTGGCAAACTAGTCACTGAGCGGCGACGCAACGATATTAACATCACTCCGGCGAGGTATCGAGTAGACAAGCGGAGGCGGAGTAAGAAAAGTGGATGAGTCATAGGCAGAGAGTATAGTTGTAAGGACGAAAGACCAGAAAAAATGCTGCCGAGGGAAAGCACTGACTACAGTGCTTAAGGCTACATTTAGTTGGCTAATCAATTAGAGATTAGTAGGTATACAATTACTTAGAAAGTGAAACTAGGTAGGGTAGGGTAGGTAGGCAGGCAGGCACTGGCAGGCAGAGCAGGATGGCAGGCGTGGTGGCGGCGGGGGGGCGTTCAGGTAGGCAGGCAGACAGGAGGCGGCGGCAGACAGACATGCAGGCGGAGGGACAGGGCAGGCAGGCAGGGCAGGCAGGACGGAGGGCAGGCAAGGCAGGCAGGAGGCAGGCAGGCAGGGCAGGCAAGGTAGTTTAAGCAGGTAGGTGGGCTGACCAAGATTCTAATGTAATTATTATCCCATATATTGATTTCATATGATCGAGGTGGATTCAAAGCATGATTTTAATTGTCTATACAAGTGCTGTTTTTTGTGATCCAACAATTACAATTTTATGAATGTAGGAGAATTATACTCGGGGTATAAATATTTGGGCCTGATAACTCTGCTCATACGCAGGATCTGACGGGGCTAGCAAGAAAATAACGGTATTATCATATAAGGATAGCATATTTATCCTGGTAGTATATGAGGATTTACAAAGATGCCATAACATTATAGATATTCTATAAAGCAGTTTAAATCAAGCTATTCCAGTACAGACGATGATTATAGTATAGTGGAGATTGCAATAGATATCCTCGGGTATTTACATATTCTGCACAATTGTAATGGTGCGCTTAGTTATTCTGAAGGCATTGATGTCATAAATAATGCTGAGGAGATTTTACCTACAATACGTTTCGAATATTAATGTTTGATTGTCTTCAATACAGGTAACTTTATGTTGAGGATATTAGGTCAGAGAGAAAAATCTGGTAATAATTGTCACATACCATGGTTTCTTACATAAGGTGTACTGACTACAGTACTGTACTGATATTCACATCCTGTTAATCTAAAATGGGCATACTTAACCATAGGTGGAGTTTTGTAGTGAAATAGGACAGTAAATTCATCTAGTTTTGTATTTGCCTGACTTAATATTTTTTCTGACTAGCAAGTCTTGCTTGTTTGAGGAAAGAATGATGAGATTAGTTCGCAGGCGACATCTACAACACAATAAAGTGGAAACATGGTTTACTGCTTGGTTTACTAGATGAATCTTTCCAGGCATGAAATTAGGCAAATGGTGAGCAGGCATCAAAGTTTAAACGGCCTTTGATCAAATGAAAGCAGCCTTACAGTTGTGAACGGCCTTATTTTGGTTCATATTTATTCCATATGAATAAAATATTAGCTTTGTGTTATAATTGCCATACTCGTTTTGTGATATCAGTATTTATTCTATAGTGGAGTTATATGTTGTTGACAGAAGTAGACATGATTTAATTCTTAGTAGTTGCCACTAAGAAAAAAACTAGTCAGGATGGTAATTTTGGAATAGGCATGAAGATAGGCAAGTTTTGAATAGGCAAGTGGTACTGATTATATGGGGGATTTGAACCGCGGGCAGCCGGCTAATTAGCCTAATTGCGGGCACTGCTTTCCTAAGACTGTTACGTAAAATTGGCTCACTGTCCAGTACGAAGGTGGGATGAGAGCAGTAGGTGCTAGTTTATAACCTTACGGAAGCTCAGACAATTGCATAGGACGTTACATAAAGTATGTATGTATTTCGAAATAGGCAATTATTTTTATCTATAAAATCGAGTTGATTATCCACCCATGGATTACCCCGACATTCTGTTTTATGCGACATAAAGTCAATATGCGTGCTATGTGTACTGTACGGTGTTGCACTATGCTCGCATGCATACTATTTTGCCCTTTACCATGCTGCATTGTCTCTCAGT